CAGTGATCCAGCCTGTCCAGATCCCTCTGGATGTCTAAAACATCCCTGAATGTCTATCTTTAGGAATGCGAAGTGCTACCATAATCAGGTCCATAAATTAGTTTCTAGATGACCTCAGCTTTCCTAAAGGTACAAAAGAACAATTTTTTTTTTAATCTGAAAGAAAGGAGTTCAAGATCAGATTATTTGTGCAGCTTCTATTTCAGCTTGAGCTAAAACCACCATGACAGAAGATGGCAGTAGCGATACAGAACAAATATAAAATTAAATTAATAAAATATTAAAAGCTGTGATAAATTTAAGTATATCAATACCATTTTTCAGATTCCATTGGCTGCTTTGGCCTGTTCCTTGTGCTTACTGAAACTGAATGATTAAGAAGCCTAGAAAGAAAAAAATATGCATTTATTCAACAACTTTGCAGTTAAACGTTTTTCTTAGCATATGTTACTTTCTCTGTATAACATTTCCTGCAAATAAAAAGTTTTGAACATTAAGGTGGCATTTTTCATAAAATTAAATTATGTATGTATATACAGATGTGAAATCCAAGCCCAATCCTGCTTCCATTTAAACCAACAATATTGTTTCCACCTCTTGAAATATTTCAAGTTCTGAATTTTAAGGAAGTAAAACTTACAACTCAAACCAAAAAGAAGTCTCCTCTTATTTTTCTCCCTAAGATACATACTATTTCAACTGATCTCACACCTGTGTAAAGTTATGCTGCCTTTAACAGAAAAGGCCCCACTGTTCACTAAAATTAGAAGACATAAGGTAGTCAGCCTAAAGCAGACAAGAAATTCTACGAAGATTGAGCACAAGGCAAGAAGTTACCTGGGTAAGAAACACTGCAAGCACAAAGGAAATGTAGGGGAAAAAGAACAGGTGATAAAAATGGAACAACACGGGCTAAAAACTGAATGGAAAGTCTAATGCTGAAATGAATCAATGGAAATTCCTTTTTTCTAAACAGTGAACAGTCAAAAGCGCCAAAACCTAGAGACACAGAAATGTTTTTTAATCTTGAACAAACAGGTACCAAACATGCACACAAACGAAGATGCTAATAGCTACTGTGGATGCTTAAAGTGTTAAAAAACCCAGAAAGAATCAGTAGCACTTAAACATTTTCAAGTTAAATGTCATGCTAAACAGTAACTTGAATGCATAATTCTGAATTATTGGAGGTAGTAATACTATATTTCAACACTGACTTCATGTGCAGAACTATGATAAAGTATATTTACATCGAATTATATAGAGAACTAGAATGTCTTAAGCATCAGAAAGAATTAGAATAACAACTATTAGATGGAAACAAGTATAACAGTAGACACCTTTTTATATCTCATTATTATTACAAAGGGCAGTATGATCATTAACTCTAAATGGCTGATGATTTTTCAGTCATACTTCTGTGGTTATTATAAATTTGAGCTCAGTAATCTCATTTCTAGTTTAAATCTCTCACTGTGTGAACCTCAATTTAATGGGATTATGAAAAGTTAAGCCTGTAAACCAGCAGAGTTAACAGCACTCAGGCTGCAGCATCTGCTGCTCTCTATGTTTCGTCTCTGGAAACTTGATTTTGAGGGTACATTCCAGAATTAATTTATACTATAGCCTGAAGGAAGTGTTACAAAAAACTACTATTCAGAGCATAGGTTATCAAACCATGTTATTTTAAGATACATTAATTTTTAGAGAGAATCCCCATTTAAATTAGCCTTACGTCTTCAGCTGAAAGCAATGAGAAATCCAGAGACTTTGCAGCAAGGCCTGAGCATTACAACAGAGCATGTTTTTAAAAAAATAGAAATTTGAGTCACTGAAGCAGTTTAATGCAACACTTGCACCAAAACTGACACTATCAGTGTAAATTCAATGACTGTATGTAAAACAAGCCATTTCTTTGCTGAACTCATATTAAATAAGCAAAAACTATTCAAGCTAATTCAAACACACTTTTCACCTATGTTGTTTCTAAGAAATATGTATAGAATTAATGTTTGAGTTCATTTTAAACTAGGTTTATTAGAAATAAAGTATATTTTTATACTTTGTAAAACAAAAACACAAACTCATTTTTGAAAATTCCTGTTTAGAAAGTGAAGACTATTGATGGAGAAGTAACAGCGAGTTCAGTATTTGTCAGGCCAGCAGTTACTAGTCCAGTCAAAGAAATACAAATTTCCTGTTGAAATTCCTGTTTTCTTAAAGAAAAAATGGTGAAGAAAATTAAACTGAATTTACTAAATTTCAGATTAAAGAATTCATGTCAAAAAAAATGTGTTCAGCTGGAAGAGGGAATAAAAAATAAAATTTAAAAAAAAAAAATCAACGTAGCGGTGTTAAACTGTATTCCAGAAAATATAATGCAAAAATGAGTATGCGATATTAAAGCAGAAGTAGATCGTATTCAGAAGTGTGGTGTTAATGGTGCAGGGATTCCAGTAGCTGTTTCCATTCATACTACAACTTATTAAATCAAAAAATTACTTTATTAGTCACATCAATTATTGGGCCAATTACTGATGGTCATATTGAATTGCTAAATAAGAATTTGCATAAGACATCTGTGTTAGTACTGCAATTAAGTTCCTAGTTCTGGTTCCTACATCTCTTCTTATTACTTATACTTTCATATTTTGAGCAAACAATGATTAACAGACACAAAGGAACTGCACGATGGTAATACTATTTTCGAGTTAGCTATCTTTAAAGCATATAAAGTTAGCTATCTATAAAGCATATAAAGACACTGGAAATCTTTTACAGTGAGGAAAAAAAAACTAACGTATTTTTAAACTAATTCAAGAGCAATCTACTGTCTTCACATGTGGCACTGCTTTGTAATCGAAATCTGTTTTCTTAGGTATTTAAACAATTTTAGGAAGTCACTGCTGTCAATGACTTTGATGCAGACCAAAACAGTTTGGTACTAATAAAGATTTATTTGATCTAAGCTATCCTATTTTCTTTTGAAGACCAGGAATATCCTGAGTAAGTTATAGAGTCTGAAATCACTTGATTCATCACCTACATATCTCAACACAGTATACACAGACCATTCCAGACTTCTTGTTACCTGTGAGGTTTGTGTACCTGCAAATGCCTCCCTAACGGCTCTCAAATGCAAAACAAATTGTCACTGTAGTCATGCTAATTTGAAAATGATCACTTTAAAACTAAGATACCTTAAATTTAAAAAAAACCACCACACCCACACTTTTGCCTATACTTGAAGTACTATATATTTTTTTTAAAAAGCATGCCAGAAGTAAGTGAAATAATGCTTCTAGGTTTTGACTTATTTAAGTCTTTTTTGGAGTGTTGCCTAATTAAATATAATCTTAAGATAGTATTTCACCTTAAAGAAAAATAATTGTACTGCAATCTATTTTTGGTAACAAAATATCTTAGATCATCAATTTACTCAATCCCTTTACTCAGTTTTTGTTCCAAAAATGGCCAAAAGTGTTTCTTTTGTCCGCATTTCAACTTTGAAAATCTGAAGCTCTACAAACACTTTATACCTTGATGCACGTCCTGCTGCCCTTGTCCTCTGGAAGAGTTTTTCACTGAATGAAGTTCTATAGCTTAATGGCCTTCGTCTGTATTCATATTTCATGTACATCAAAGCGAAAGGCGGAAGGAAGCAGGACAGGTTGATGAGAGAGGACAGGGAGGTCATTAGCATAGCAAGCAAAAAGAAAGAAGACTGCATAATATTTTTCAAAAAGGCACACTGAACACACAGAAATATAATTAGCAAGCAATTATTCTGTCTTGCACACTTTTCTGAGGATCGAGCATATTGTCCACAAACAAACACAGAAATATCTTCAATTAAACTTCTAAATACTATACGTATTCCTGTTTATGGCAAGAAATTATAAACTCATAAAACTATGGATTCAAAATCAGGACTAAATTTTGTAATTAGATGTGGTTTTGCCATCGTTTACTTGAAGATACATAAGTAAGCTTCAAAATAAGTAGTAAACTAAGCAGTAAAAATTAACTGTTAAGACTGCATAGGTCTGAACAATTCAAGAGCAAAGCAGAACCGTTAGCAAGATCACCTCACTAAGATACATTATACAACAATTAAAATTTAAATTGTAGTACTTCAGAAGAGGAGTGGCTTGGTATTTCAAACAATTAGATGTTTAGGAAATTTTAAAACTTAAAGATCCACATGCAGTGTAGACCGTGACCATGCAAGATCTACAATAACCATCATATAAAAACTAATATAAGAAAAATACAATTATCTCTTTATTAATAAATACGTACAAGAAAATTTAGCATTCTTATTTTTTTTAAATACTCTATGTAAAAAGAATGTATTAGTATTAAGATTTCATTCTTATTTTTCCTTTCCGAATGTGAACAATGAATTCTTAAATACATTATATGGAGTCTTAAGTAAAACCTATTTTTCTTTTACACACAAGACACAGCACTGCTATCATGTTTAACTAACATAAAACACTTATGATTTTTTTTTAAAGCTCTGCAGTTCACAGAAGCAGGTCATCAACTTCTCAACTTCACTACCTTTAAAGAAAAACAGCAGTGCAGAATCTCATAATTACAGAGAAATTGAGAAGAAACACAACCAGTATTTAAGTTGGTATGCATTTACATCCATTACTGTGGGATAATGAATGACTGTAATGAACTACTTTAGTTAGTGAACCACAATTTAATGAATTAATCACAACTTTTATATTTCAGGAAAGATCTTACTCTGCCAAAGTTCCTCACTGGTTATTTGCCTGCTTGGTGAAGGAACCAGAGGTTTATCCTAGTCTGTCCACATCCTGTTCAACTCCAGGTACTCTCCCCTTGTTCTTCGTTTTACACAGTTAGCTTGTTCTATTACATTCCTTTAATCTGCTGCTTGTTCTACAGCTCCTTTTCAAGAACAATTCTGTTACGATGCCCAATGTGAAGTGCAGAAACTCAGGTAGTTCATCAGTACGAACTTACACTGTTCAAACTATTTATCTTTCTATATAACATATATATGCTCTGTCATTTGACAGAATAGTATATGAACAAATCGCGCCTTTGGTCCATAAGAAATTTCTATTTTGCATCAGACTGAATGGAGGAAGTATCACCTAAATTATCTCACATTTGAGTAAAAATAACCTGTCAAAAACCAACTGTAAGCAGGTTCCAGAACTCATACAAACGAAGACCAAGTCATTTTAACGTGTTACCAATAGCCTACTTACATGACCATTAACCATGCCTAATTCAATATGCTGCTTTGGAAAAAAAAGTGTAAAAAAAGTTAACATACAACAAACCAGGAAGTCAAGAGACTTTCAACATATCTCTTCCTCTCCATGGCAGGTACAGCACTGCTTTTCTAGACAGCAATTTTGTGAAAAGCAGCACAGGACAGATGTCTTGAAAGAGTCTGTCACTTTAATAGTCTGACAAAACTGTTCTCAAAATGATAAGGCATCAAGAGTTTTTGGTTATAGCAGGATAAAGAACAGTTAAAAAAAGAGTTATGTTAACTAATATCGTTATACCTGTGCTTTTGTTCCTGCTGCAGTAACTGAGCCGCTATTTTTCTCAAGTCAGTCACTTCTTTGAGTTCATCATCATCTTCAGCCAGCAGCCGTTCTTTCTGAAGTCTGAAAAATTAAAAATTACTAACTTGCCTGAATTCACTAAAGCAAGACACAAATGGCTACATTTTTGGACAATAACAAAGCTTATTTTAATTTTATATTTTAATATTAGCTTATTTTCTGCCAGTTAGCTCAGTCGGTTAGAGCATGGTGCTGGTAACAGCAAGGCCGCGGGTTGGATCCCCGTTTGGTCCCCATGTGTTGCCTGGTCTAGTTGAGGGGCCTCCCTGCCTATGACAGGGAGGTTGGATTAAATGATCTCTGAGGTCCCTTCCAGCCTAGGCCATTCTATGATTCTGTCCAAGATGCAGCACTCTGTCTTCACTATGAGAGTATTTTCCTCCATATGCAAGGAGCTTAAAACAAAACCACCCTCACCCCTCACTGTAAGCAAAATCTTCCCAAAAGCCAGATCAAAACTTACCTTTTTTCAGCTCCCCAGTCCTCACACTGTTCTATTTTCTGCGATTTCTCAGAATGTTTTCCTCGTTCCTTACACAGATGGAAAAATAACCTTAAGACTTGAATTTTTTTTAAACAAATGAAACACACACTGAAAAAAAAAAAAAAACATCAAAAGCCTACTGAACAGTTTTTATTTTGTCAAGCTACCTTGATATAAGACAGCAATGGTCCAATGTGTACATCTCCTTGCTCAGGAACAGCTCCCTCTTCTGCATTTGGATCAATGTAGTCATACACCTCCTGGTCTAATTAGGATTGATGAAGAATGAAAAAGACGTTATTAAACTGTTCTCTCAATCAAATGTTATTCATGAGAGACATAAGCACTCATGAAAAATGTCAGATAAAGATTAAACAATGAAATCATGTCTCCTTGAGCTATAAATAATCTTTTTTCTTTCTTTCTGGCCTTGTCTATTTGCAATTTTTACACTGTTTTCTGAAAATACAATGCCAACATGTGATCATACAATTTTGTGCAATTTTTCTTAGATTATCTGAGCAAATGTATTTTTTGCCTAAAATGAGATTCATAATAGATCATTACCTTTCTGTGGATCAAGTTTATTTCCCATTACATGATTGTCATTCCTTAATGTCTGTTCCCTTGTTGATTCTGATACCTGGGAGTGAAGGCTGATTGTATCATCATCAGACGGCTGCAAAGACAATCACATTTAATACGGAAGTTATATATAAATTAAATTGCATTACTATATGATTTGCTAAGAACTCACAAATTATAGCGCAACTGACCCTATAATGAGGGATGGCTCCTAGAACAAAAAAAACAAGATCAAATCAGGTGGGGTTTTGTTGTGGGTGGATGTCTCTTTGCAAGGGAATGAAAGGGATTTAAAAGAATAATAGTTTAAGAAATGTCAGACAACTGTTCAGTATACAACCTAATGTTGAAATACAGATTTTGTTCAAAGAGGTCCAGTCTGTGCAGTCAGTGGGTTAAGAAAATAGTACTTAGGTACTTTCTTATCTGCAACCAACCACTTTGACTCTTGTTAGACCACTGGAGTAAAAAAAATAAATAATAGTAATTAAAAAAAAATATCAGTTTACTACTTGTAATAATTTGGAATTTTCTTTAGGAAAAAAAACAAGCCAAAAACATGCAATAAAAAACACCACAGAACCAAAAAAAAAAACCCCAAACACACACACCAAAAAAAGCCCCAAACCCTGACTAGTAATACTCCTTGTTCTACAGTTTCCTAACGCTGCTGCTCACTAGCAATCACTGCAGTTGTAATAATTCTCTTTAAGTTTTAAAAGTCTTGAGTTCTACCCTATTCAGCTTTGACATTATTGTTACTAATCATAGCTCCTTAATCTAGATTTCTACAAATACACAGGTAACTTGCAGGAATTTTTGCTCATCACTTTTAACCTAGCAGAACATCCCTAAGTTTACTAAAAGTTAAACAACGAGGATTATTAACGTACACAACACTCAAGTTTAGTCCAGATAAACTTTCATTTTTCTTAAGCACATTCAACTCTTTAGTAAGAAAAGAAAGTTTCAATTACATTGTCCATTGTGTAAAAAGTTATTATGTACTTCATATTAAAAGATCCAAACAATTCCTTAGGTCAGAATTCAGATTTAAATGTATGAAATCTGGACTGGAATGAGCCTTAAACAGAAGAGTCAAAGCACTGTGTAAATGATTCGTCTGATATTGGCAGTCTAATGGTTTAAACTCAACTATACAGATACTCAGAAAACGTTAAAGGTAACTTCATCAAGTATTTCTCAAGCGATACAAAATACACAGGAAATTAGAATTCTATAAACCAGAAATTACACAAATTCAACAGTGAAAAATCACTCACTTCTGTTGTGGACAATCTTTTATCCCCATTATCACTTCCGATGCCGGAGTCTGGTCCATGATTTTTATTGGGATAAAAGTCCTCCATGCTACATTAAGAAAAACAACACAATCACACACAGAGGAATGAAAGAAACAGTAGTTTAACTTCTGTAAAAGAGAATAAACACCCTTTGAAAAGTACATTCTCTATACTCGTCTACAGTTGCTGATACAGAATTTTTGTGCAAGTGCAGAGAAAAATATTTTAATTTCACAGATTCTCTCTCTCCTACAAGAGCTGTTCAAGACAAAAGTATAAAAGCAAACTTAAGGTGGAAACAGCCAATTACAGTTCTCTATCTATACACTTTTAGAAATGCAGCTCCTTGAATTCTACTGGCAGACATGGTTTTTTACTAGTAGCAAACATACACTCCATTAATCGACTGTCATATTATAATGGTTTAACCCTTCCTGAACATTTATAAGCTAAATTTACGTTCTTTGAAGACATAAAATTGGCAGCACCGGCAGGATGTGTCTTTCAGTTGTGCACTGGAGCTTGATTGAACAAATTCTTACTACAATAAATATGATGTACAGTGGTAATACCCATGACCTTGTTCTTCTGCAATACATTTTAGTTGCAGGTGAAGGCTGCAGACCACAGCTTTTAGGAGCACTGAGAAATGATCTACAGGCACTGTGGACTAATTCCCTACAGCACAGTTGCTTGAGACCAAGACCATAGATTGACTCTAATGGTCCGGATGGTTCTGTGTAAGCTTTATTCATAACTTTCATATTTCCTTTGGCCTTGAACACAGAGAGGCAAAAGTTGCAAGTGACATGTTAAGTGACATGGTTTTCAATGACAAGTCAACTGATGATAAAAGGAAATACTGTTGTATTTTCTAAGCACTCAAGACTGCAGTCTAACAAAACATTCTGCACTTTTCGACCCCGACTAACCTAATAAAAACATCCATCGTACTTCACTGATGATTAGGTTAGGTTCCCTTAATATATCTGTGAGAAACAGACTTGACTTTCCATCCAATAGACCAACTCTATATTCAAGACATTTATGGGAACTGCTCATCTATTATTTTGACATATCTATTTGGGAAATAAATAGCCAAGTTTTCCAATAAATACATTTAAAATATATCTGTGTTCTGATTTCCAAATCTTTAGCAAGTTCAAAAAAAAATTTTCATAGCAACTCAGATGAGCCAATTAAGCTTTTTTAATACTATGACTCCTAAGAAAAGAACAGTTAAAGTATTGAAATTACAGCTATTATCTGTAATAAACAGATCCCTTAACAGTAAATCCCAAAGTCAAATAAACCAAAAAACCCACTACCCACCTGTCTGTAAGCGGCTGGGAAGGAATTCGTTTACCTAATGATGGAAGATCCAAAGAATCCGGTTTTTTATCTATTCTGAGGCACGCTTGAATGCTGAGGAATTTAAATATATGTACTTTACCCTTTAAACATATCTGTTGGGAAACAACAAAAATGTAATTCCTTAGCACGTCTTTTGACCTTGCACCCTGACGAATACTTTCTACACGGAGTTTGAACCCGCAATTTCCCACTAGAAGAAATACAGCTAAAAAAAAAAAAAAAACCAAAACCTGATCGGTGTATAACTTGGAACAGTTTCCCCTTTCTTAAGGGCCTAATGAAACTTTCTGAACTAGAACGCTGTAATACTAACCTGTGCTGGTGGTATCTGCATTGGATTGTTATCCAAAACTATAACTTGTAAGTGACGTAACTTCCTGTAACAAATTGGAATTTCTGTAATTTTATTACAAGAAAAATCCAGCTTCACCAAGGGAAGGTCTCCTAATTCTGCATTGGGGGAAACAAAAGAAAAGAATCAGAGATCTTCTCACACTTTACCTAATTTACCTCCACCAAAGAAATTAAGACTAGTAGCTTACCATCTGGCAGCATATGGAGATTATTTCTTCTCATGTTCAACTCTCTAAGTGACTGTAATTTTCCTATCTGCTGGGGAAGAACCTGAAGTTCATTGCAACTGATATCCTAAGAAAGATGAAATTAAGACATTGACTGAGCATCTTAAATGAAATCAAGCAACAAAAAATAAATAAATAAATCAAATCCTGCTATCAAAATTACTATAAAGCATACGACTACTAAAAAACAAAACAAAACAAAAAAAAACACAACCAAAACCCAACAACAATCAATCTGGATTTTTCCAAAATGGAAAGAAGTACCATAATAGATCTCACTGTTTCTTAAGTATTTAGTGATTCGCATTTCAGAAGCTCAATTCAAAATTTCATTAATAATGAAAGACTGGTTTTAAGATCAAAACTGAAGCCTAGGGATCAGAAGTTCCTGGTGTAGTTCCCGTATCAGTTGAAAACTCCTTGGCTGGCAAACTGATTTGCCTTCTTTTATAAAATTTATTCTTCCTTAAAAAACCTTGAAACAATGCATGCAAGTAAAACTTCACAAACAGCAATAGCAGGCTCATCAACTTTTTGGATACAAGCACTAGAGGGTGACAAAGCCGCACCAAGTGAACACAGGCTACAGTTATTTCTGCCACTAATTTAACATTCATGTAGTCCAGAGTGAGTCAGCAATCACACTGATCTAAGACTGTTTCTAACGGGTTTTTTATTTCCAATTCAATAAAACTGACTTTAGAGTAGCTTGCTAGATTAGGTAACAATGATAGATACCTAACCCAATGATCAACTGGCAGCTGATTTTAAAGGCAAACTGAGTCAGTAACGAGAGGCCAGATGAAAGCAGCCTCCCTCTCCACTACGCTTTCCCCGAGCCCCAGCTTCAGCACTGCTCATCAGTTTTAGCAACCTCAACACCTGCACACAGATGGATGCTTGGAGAGCACAGGTTGCTTGAGATAAACTCTTGTTTCTATTTAAAGTTAGTCTCTCTCCACATCACCAAATTTAAGATGGGATTCACTTCCTCAAAGTATGTTTCTAGCACATGGTTTAGTTGTGAACTTTTATTTTTAATGTATATGTGTCTTTCAAGGTCCCTTCCAATCCCTAACGTTCTGTGCTTCTGTATGACATATTACTTATGTTCTAAACAGGTAGAACACAGGTACTGGAATGAAACTCTCTAGTATGTCCATCTGTACCATGAAGCACACATTCTAGGTTTGACAATTTTGAAATGTAAGACAAAAATATCACAACTACAATTCTGAAGAACATTCAGGTCCCATAAACAATAGCAGCGATTGCACCTTGAAATCTTATGACATCAAAGTGAACATAAAGCATTTCTCACCAAAGAGGACACTAGAAACTCTCACAGTCATTCAGAAAATCTCTGACAACAATAACAACACCAAGGTTGTGGGCTCGATTCCCGCTCAGTCCCCATGTGCTGCCTGATCTAGTCGAGAGGCGTCCCTACCCATGGCAGGGAGGTTGGATTAAAACGATCTCTGAGGTCCCTTCCAGCCTAGGCCATTCTATGATTCTATGATTACACGTAAATTAAAAAAAAAGAATCTTGGTTTATAGCTCAGACATTAGGTTGTATTAAAAGAAATCTCCAGGTCATTTACAGTTACTCTGTAAACAGGATGAGGATTGCTTGCAATGATCAAAGAAATCACATATACTGGGGAAAAAAAATAAATTTAAAAAAAAAAATCAGACCTAGTCCAAGCGCCAAGTAAGTGAATAATTGTGCACAGATCTCCAAAACACAAGCTTAACATAAAGTAATGATCAGAAAAATTCCAGAATATTACGAAATACAGAGAAAGTAATGGATGATAAAACACAAACCTTTAATATCCCATAGGATAAAATCATGTTGCACAGAGAACTAAATTGTGAATATCACACATCATTCTGTTCACCTTAATCAAAATAAAGGAATAGCAGAAATGGGAGGAAAAAGAAGAAATGCCAAACAAAACCAAAACAATGGCATAACTGTGTAAGAGTAGACAGCAGAGAGATTAAATCCTCAACTAAAAATAAAGTTCCTGATAACATGTAAGAAAAATCCATAAAATTGTAGAATTAAGGTCAATAAAAAAAGAAATTACTATTTGTAACAATACATAAGATAGGGAATGAAATTAAATTATCTGAAGAGCACTCTTATTTATGAGCCTCTTAAGCTTTAGTTGGCCCAACATAGTGACTTGTGTTTAACCTGATTTTTGAAACACTGCATTACACCAATAATTTGAGCTCAAAAAATAAGAAAATACAGTAAATGAATTTACATTTTATAGCTCTACAATTAAAAAAATATTAATTTATCTTTTTATTATACTGTAAATACACTGCTTATAGTTTAAGTTTACTTAATACAGTAGTTCACAATTGTACTTACCAACTCCATTAGATCTCTCAACTTCCCAATTTCTTCTGGAATGGAGACCAGCTTATTATTACTGACAACCAGAACTTTAAGTGGAAGATCAAACAGGTATTTTGGCAATGTTGATAAAAGATTTCGACTTCAAAGAAAGAAAAATGAAAAAGCAAGGCTAGATTATAATCTTCTTTTTAAGCCTGAATGAGAGTCTGAGATACAGTGTATTAGTTTTCTCCTGTTCCAGAAGATGTTCTCCCTCTACTACAATCTCCACCATAAATTCCTTACTAGATAAAGTCTCTCTCAGGTGAATTTTATGTCCCCATCTCACTTGGTGAAATGAGTACGTACTACATATCTCAGTCTAATACTAAAACATACAGACAAATCTTTTTAAAAAAGCAATTTATTTAATCTTCACTTTTACCTTACTTTCTAGTATCTTCAGAAGGATCACCTGATCTGACAATATAAATTTCATATTCTCAGCAAACCAGAACTTCATACAAGGCCATGGCTTCTTGCATCATGTGGTCATGTCACCCCTGAGCCAAAAAGCCCTTAGCATTTATTTATGACTTGGCTTTCATTAAAATTTACTTCTTTTGTATATATTGTTTTCCAACTGCATACACATATATCTGCTCTGTATACAAGAAACATACTGTTACCAACAAGTTTATTTAAATCCATATTGGAAAAACTACCAACTGCAGACTGTAACTGCCAGAAATATATAGTTTTTCTAATAAGTTATTTAGACATTTAAAAAAGCCAGTGAAAGCCAGCTTGTTCAGATGTGGTATGAAAGTAATTCCACATATAAAAATAAAATAAATAAAAATCAGTAATTGCTGTTACTTTAGGTAGAATTATGTGGAGGTCGTTTCTATTTTGGAAAAACACCCAGAAAATTTCAGTGTTGACATTTGTGTTCACACTACATTAAAAAAAACACCAGAATTTTTACTGTTTAATTGATGTGTATCAGAGCACATTTCCATATTAAAAAAAAAAAGCTTTTTACATTATTTCTCTCCATAACTACACTGTACAAGACTGCAAACCCAGTAAAAATATACCTATGTCCTTGAAACATTTCAGCTTCAAAGAAGTCCTGCACTTTTAAACCATAAAATGAAAGAGAACTTCAATCAGTATCTTCTGTAAAAGTAATGTATTCATTCTGTTATTTCTAAGCAAACACTACAAATAAGTTTTTGATGTAGGCATGCATAAGTCTTATGTTGTATTTCAGGAAGATTTTCACATATAGCAGACTTTTTTGGTGGAGAGCATGACAAGCAAAAATATAATGTGGAAGTAAGCTTATTTTAATTGTTTATTAAAATGTGACAATGAAACTGTCATTCCCTGCATCATTTAAATTTTCCTTTTTTTTTTCTTTTTTAAAGAGTTGCCTACTTTGCTATGAATTGCACAATATCTTTCTTCAGTCAACTGAATACAAAATTAGAATTTGAGATCATATGGTTTTCTTCTGTAATAAAATATTGAAACTAGGAGGCCAGGATTTTAGCCAGTTTTTCAGCTACTATAATGTCTGTGTGATCACGCATTGCAAAAACAGTCCTCAGACATTAGCACAAAAATGAAGATAAAGCACAGAAAGGCAAATGATGACTAGAAGAGTAGACTCTTGAAATAACATGCAACACCCTGTTAGAACTACACACTGCTTTATTTCTCTGAAAAGAATTGTATTCAGCACCTCAATTACCATCAGAGAAATGGGCTGTTGCTGCTCTGTGAAGAAAGTCAGATCAAATTTATTTCAGTAAACACTGCAGTTTGATCATTAACCCTCTTTAGAACTTCCACAGAAAAGACAACTCTTAAATGATCACTTTAAAAACTTGATACTTGCAGATTTCAAGACATAGGGGTTCTTTAGGTTTGGTGGTGCTTGGTTGTTTGTTGTTTTGGTTTGGTTTTGGTTTGCATTTTTTGTTGGTTTTGTTTGTGTTTTGTTGGTTTTTCTTTACTTTTTTCTTTCGCAAGGTTCAATTCACTTTTTTTGTTTTCCAACATAAATTCTGGAGTCAAATCCCACATGTTAAATAGCCCTCAGCTGAGATGACTGGTTTGGACTTGATGTAGTCAATATAAGAAACAAGGAATATTACGGGAAACAGGGTCTCATCTCTTTTTGGAATGGTTCTGGATTCCATTTCCTTCCAGAGCTCACACCCATCTTCTGCTCTTCTGAGAAGGTCTACCATATGTTTTCCAAGTTTAAGAACAGCAACACAGCAATGGATGTAAACGTGCAAAATGAGTAGGGCCTCCTGCTCAAGAGTTGTAATTTTCTTTACACAGGTAGTTTCTAAGTTTTGTCTGCGTAACATTAAAAAAGGAGAAATCTCTGAAAACTCTTCTTCTGCTCAGCTACCATAGTTTACTAACTGAAATTTTGTAATACAGTCAATTCCTTCCCACAGAAGAAGCAAACACTGCTGGCGCAACAGCAAGGGTAAGGCAAAAAATACAATAATTGTATCTATCTGGACTAAAATGAGAATACAAGGGCATTAAATGACCTGATGAAGTAGAATGCCACCTCTCCAATGAGGTAAGTTATAGAAAGACCAGAAGTAACAGTCATTACTTACCTAATATTAAGGTAGGTAAGCATTTGCAGGTTTTTAATAGACTCTGGAATGGATTTGATGCAGTTGTGATACAAATTTAAAGTTTCCAGTGGTGCAAACAGCCAGATATCAGGAGGAATCTCAGTAAACCTGTTCTTTGAAAGATCTAGAAGCAAAAGAAAACAAGAAAAAGCCTGTTTCAGTCAAAAATTTCCCTGCAGTAAGAGGAGATAAAAGTACCCACTGTTATTCTTGTCATGCTCCTAAAAATTAAGGTGTTGCAAGAAGTGTAAAATAATTCATTTTTACCAGATGCTACTGCATATGATTAATACACAAAAGAGACTTAAAATACCAAAAGACTACTGTTTGATATGCAATTGTAACAGAAAATATAAAAGTGACTGGAATTAAAAAAAATATATTAACTACTACAGAATTAAGAATATTTAAAATGTAATTGAATATAAATTATGATTGTCTCTATGTGTCTTTGTCCTGTACAACTGTTGGGGTTTTTCCTCCAATTCTAGACACAACAATAAGTCAAGATACAAACACAGTAAACAATTTTCCTGTTCGAGGGGTACATTAGAATCCAATCTCATTGCACAAAATACCTACAATAAAGCCAAGCTTGCAGAAGAAACTTACATATTTATTTTGCTCAAGAACTACAGTTCTCATCTAAAAAATATTCTTTACTGCAAACATAGTAATTGAGACATTCCCCAGTTACACATTTATAGCTTAGCTAAAAAGAGAATAAAGTTGCAAAAACCAATATCAAATGCATTTAGCGATAAAAATAAGGATGCAATTTAGCCTAGCCTAAGACCAGAAAGAGGAGACATCTTTGACAATTGAAAAAAAAAATACTTGAACTAGAGTTATTTTGCCAATGCATGACTGCATTATGCAAACCTGCAAGCAGAAGATATGAAAAACCAGCACACTACAAAAATGCATACCATCTCTGACTACATGAAATCTTTTAAAAGAACAGAAAATGCAAGTGGGATGTGACTCAAGAATCCTGAAAATTATTAGTTAACTGCCAAACCCTGTGTCAAAAAATCCATGAAACTATCATGAAAAAAAGTGATATTTACTTGAGAATGACTGTCTACTTTTTTGAAACTAACTCGGGTTCGCAATCCAAGACATTTCAAAAGGATGTGGTTTCTCAGAAATGCTGAACAAACTTTTTTAACAAAGAAGCAGTACAGAAGTCTTGCTATTTCAGGCTTTAGTTCTCAGTTTTTAACACTTGCATGAAATAACTGTGTTCTGCTCAGCTCCTATTATATTATCATTGGAACAAAAATCACTTTGTTCTACACTAGACTGAAAAAACAGTCTAGAAAGTGGCTGGAAAAGTGGCTCAAATTCACCATCAAGCAGAGAGCTCAACACTGAAGTATAACTGGCAAACCAGCTACAAGCAGCATTTCTTGGGGTCACCCTTGGAATCAACATAGTTTAGTATCTTCATCAACAACCTAGAAAACAGGATAGAATGTGCCCTCACGACGCACACGGACAACACCAAGTTGAGGGGAGTGAAGAGGCAACTGAGAGGCTGGAGGGATGCGATGTGAGCCACAGTGACCTCAACTGGCAGACAGCCCGCCCAGTTTAACAGAAAGGCTTGTACCTACGGCAGAGTAACTCCTCACACTGGTGTGGGCTGGAGGACAAAAGGCAGAGGGCAGCTTTGCAGGGAAGGACAACGTGATGCTGGTACAGAACAGGCTGAATGCGAGTCATCAGTGTGCCTCGCAGTGGGGAAGGCCATCCGCCGTGTGCTGCAGATGTCCAGCAAATAAAACAGACTGGTACAGTGCAGCATCACTCTTCAGTGGCGTTATTTTTGGAACAACCTCAACTTTGCTTCCTGAAGCCTGGTATATGTGAAATTTGTGAGCTGTCATTCAACTCTTCCGTAATATCTAAGAAACATTCTCAAGCTAAAGTATCACCAAGTCTTCCTTTAGACCAAGGCACCCGCTGCTAATGCTGAATTTTGCAAACTCTAGCTGGAAGAGGCAGGAGAAAGATCTAGGCTGCATGACTGACATTCTTCAAGAAGTGAATGATAAATAAAGTTAACTAAAACTAAACATTCCAACCAAAATTTAAAAGCCTGTTAAAAAATTTAGCATAGCTTGAGAAAGTTTTCACAATAGGTGAGATTTGTTTTCTGTTTTCTACTACATCAATTTTAAAAACATAGAAAAATGGCAGCTTTTACAGGAAAGAATTTTCTGCTAAACCCTTTTTAGGTTAAACAAAGGCTCTCATTCTAATACTCAGCAGAGTGGGATAACTGTGTGGAGAAAAGATGCACAGTTTTATTTACAGCACAGTTCTACAATCTGCACCATATGATGAACAGTCTTTGACACAATCCCATTCTGAAGAAATCAGCTTTAAGGCTCTTTCTGATTTTGTTCTATCAGCAGCTGGAAAAATAACTGAAGACTAATAAAAACATCTAGTCCACAAGATATAGATGACAGAATCCCACTCTCTACTGCCACTGATCCCAAAAGCAGTACTGCAGATTATACCTGAATAGGGAGACTCAAGAGCAGACAAAAAGTCTAAAGCCCTACGTACATCCAACTGCACATCTTTGAAAGATACAGGTTAAGAAATAGCTTTTCACTTCCGTCTGCGGAAATAAAATCTTTTTTTTTTTAATTGTTGACAGATAAAGTAAATAAGGAGTTGGAAGATAGTATAGCTTCTCTTCCAAGCAATTTTTCATTAATTCATTGCAAAACAGTATTAGAGCAGTCCCAAGGGTTCAGATCTCCCTAAAGAGAAAGATGCAGGTGTATATAGAATTCCACAACATTAATATATCCAATGTACTTACAGTTTTTTTTAAAAAACAAGTAAAGTTATTTTTTATGCAAACAGAAAAACAATTTCTACTCCAGAAAAAAATCCGCAAGATAAGTTCATCTATTATGCTAAGTAAAACATAGATGTGAAGCTTATACAATTTCGGTGCCTTCTGAAGACTAAGAACCCAGTGTATGACTGAGAAAGCACTCTAAGAAAAAAGGAAAAAACTTCTGAAATAGAGTGTTCCTCTACAAACAAGATAGGCTGCATTTCAACTGAAGTGGAAGAACACTGCTGGCACTTAAAATGGGAATGGTTTTACAAGGGTTAATAGACTGCAGCAGCAAGAAAAGCTGCTAAATGCAGAACTTCAGATGCTTTAAGATAACTGCTCTAGAAGTGAGTTATAAGAATTCTTTACTTAACAGCTCAGACTGAAAAACTCTAAATTGGGGGCGTTATGTGAAGACAAACTAGAAGATGCTATCCATGACCACTCAGGAATGACAATTCACTGTTTCTGCAGAAACAATGAAAGTGAGAATTACACCATTATTAAGTTTTAATTTAATATGGGAACTACAAAAAAAACCTCATGAATACGTTGTTTGCAGCTTAGTTTCTTTTTAATAGAAAAAGTTTTACTGACTGCAAGACAACATATTGAAAGTTCAAAATGAAAGAATTTTAAGGGAATCAATCAGTTTCTTGGAGGGGAAGCTAGCAGAAGTAAGAAGATATCTTCTATAAATTTAAGCCATGATCAAAGGGAAAAACAAAAAGCCTCAAGCTGTCAAGTTACGGCAGTGTGCAGCAAGGTAGTCAAATAGTATTAACATCACAGTTGTCTCGTTTTTGCACTTTTCTCTAAACATACATTACTGCTTACTACCAGAGGCATGCTGTTAGAACAGAACGGCCTTTTATGTGAATATAAAAATGATTGTACTGAATCACACTTTGCGCACACCACATGTTCAAACCAAAATACAAGGCTTAGGGGGAAGTTCACACTGGAATCTCATCTTGACATTGTAACTTTTTTCATAAAAATACGCTGATCCATCATACTGATGTTGGGTTTTTGTTTGCTCAAAGTGTTAAAGTATTTTATTTAGAAACTAGATAGAAAATGACAGCCTGTCATCCTGCACAATCTAGATCTGCTCTCCTAACTTGTAATACGTACAGATTTTCCTAGCCAGTTTTTCTAGTAATGCTTTAGTCAATTCTAAGCAAAAAAAAATTTAGAACACAATAGTGACTACACAATTAGTAGACAGAAGTCAAAGCATGTACAAAACTAGCTGTGTTCAGATCTGATCCTAAAGATAGACTTTTAGCCAACCTAAACACAAATCTGAGATCAACACAGAGAATATGGGAAAAAATTATTAGTTCATCAGACGCAAGATGATTCTGAAGAAAAGTAGTCCCAAACACTGCAGAAACACCCGCATATAGTAATTACGGAAGGCACAAAAGTCACCTTATAATTCAAATCCTGTGATGGTTGAAATTTATATTGAACAATAATAGCATTAGAAGAAACTCTCAATTATATTTCACACAGCAATTATTAATTTACTTAACAGGCCAACTTCAGGTACCAAAGAAATACCAGCAGGCAAATGTTCTTACTTAGTGTAAGCTTCAAAACCACCTTATGACCAAATGTCCTACCAATTACTCTTTTATTACACAAACATCATCTTTATCTCCCTCTCCCTTAGTAGGGTCCTCTAAAGTGAAAATTAGCACATTTGCATTCTACGTGATGGAATTCCAAGAGCAGTATCAGCAAGAGACAAGGCTAAGGCTTTACTAATGTGGCACCTTCACCCACAAGTGAAGACAATACACTTAAACACCTTTAACTTCACAATCAACCATGGTAAACAATTAGCATTATTTGTACCGCATCTCTCAAAGAACAAGAGACATAAGATAAAATTTAAGAAATTAAGTTCTGTTGCATGAAGATGTTTTAGATGCTTAAATGTCAAAGTAATTGAAAGGAGTCTGCCAGTAAGTGCATGTATTTCCCTGTCTCCCTAAGGAGGAGGACGAAAATCTAAACCCAAGCTGCCAAGCATTTAAGACTAACCACAGAGCAAAGATGCAGCATGAAATACAATGAAATTTGTTTAACAAAACCAAACAGTCAAACAAACAACTAAGACTATAAAAGTCTAATACCTTAAGCTACTACGAGCAGGAGTAGCCCACCTTTCACCAGAAATGGAGATTCCAGCACAGCATAGAAAGAAAAGTATGAATCCAAAGCTAAGAGTAGGTCAGCTTGCCAAA